ATGCATAAAGGTTAATTGAAAAATTATGAAAAATATGTCTAGAATTAGTACACTTTCTCATTGAAGGAAAGCATTACACAGCTCTCTTAACTTCGAAGAACTACCAGCATCACTAATTTTGCACTTTGGGGTAAGTGAAATTAAAGATCAATTTCGGGTGATGGTAAACCATGGACAACTGATACCGCAGATACCGAATCAGTGGATATATGGAGGTTCTACTATATTTTGTTCCAGCCACGGTATTGTCACCTTTTTTTTTTATCTTTTTGTTTACAAAGGCATTTCAGTAAGTAGTTTAGGATGGATGTGTTAGTCTGTATTAATCTATTTTAGTCACGAAATTTTGATTGTCGTATATAAAAATAGGTTTATGACACTTATATAAAAAAATACTATTCTTCAAGCTTTGGGAAATATCCCAGGAAATTTTCTATCGCTGAAACGCATCCCAGGAGTCTTTACACCCCTGGGACTCATCCTAGGAGTCTTTACACCCCTGGGACTCATCCTAGGAGTCTTTACACCCCTGGGACTCATCCTAGGAGTCTTTTCATCCGTGGGACTCATCCCCAGAGTCTTTATATCTCTGGGACTCATCCCAGGAGTCTCTATATCATTAGGACTCATCCCAGGAGTCTTTATGTCCCTGGGATTCATCCCAGGAGTCTCTATATCATTAGGACTCGACCTAGAGTCATTATATCCCCGGAACTCATCTCAGGAGCCTTTCTGTCCCTCTGACTAATCCCAGGAGTCTTTTTGTCCCAGGAATCTTGGTGTACCTATCAGCACTGTGAAGGTGACACCAGCAGCCACACAGCCCACCACAACATATATAACAATTAACCTCTCCTCATGTCACTTCACTTATTTCACTATAAAATGTCATGGAGTGTAACCCTTTGTTTCACCGTAATAAAGCTCTTCTTAGAGTGAAATGTCTGTAAATAAGGTTTCTCTGGGTAACCCAAACGCGTTTAGCATTTTACACAAACTCACAAAATAATTATTCTCATTGGTGTTGTGTGTATGTTGTTAATTCTATGCTGCTTTAGTATTTTCATCATTGGGACGTTCTGTAAAAGCCTACCAGCGAGACCCATGACTGTCTTCAAGAAGGTGCTGGACAGACACCTGTGGTGGGGCCAGCAGTAACAGCCTGGTTGATCAGGTCCTGATCCACCACGAGGCCTGGTCACGGACTGGGCCGTGGGGGCGTTGACCCCCGAGCCCCCCCCAGGTATACTCCGGTATGTCTTTGCTCACACCTATGATCTACAGTCATCCATTAGCCGATGCTCTTTTTTTCCTCTGACTAAATAGGAACGAATGAGCAACCTGGCTTGAGCTGTGGAACATTCTGTAAAATAAACAATTATTTGCCTGTATTCGCCAGATAGTTAATATCACTGGTAGTCTGAGGGGAAAAAAATGCATGCACCTTGCAAGCAAGCCCCACACTTTTCCATTTTCTTTGAGACTGTTTTCCATGCATACTTTACGTCAGTTCCCAAGAGACAGTAACTCCAACTCTGCTGGAAGGAAACCTTTGAAGCTCCCGTAGCTGATGATCTCATGCTGAATACATGACGATATACATTCGTTGTCATATTGAAGTCTCCTAAATCAGGCTAACAAAGGAAAATCAGGCCAGGAAAAGCATAGTTATCTTTGTGTGTATCTGCCAAACAGAAATATGTAGCAGCACACTTCTGACGTACTAGCTATATTTGATACAAGCCGAGTAATGGTAGCAGCCACTCTTGAAGTGCTACCTTTCTCTTTACTATGCAATATGATGGCAGCTTATTAAACTTACGTACATAGCATTATGAACCGTGAAGAAAGCTGAAGTTCTGAGTTGTGCAAGACAGGTATAAAATACCGACAAGATGAAAGTGAAGGCACTTGTGCAACATCTGGTTATCTTTATTGTAGACGTTTCACCTACTTCCACTGGGGAATCCCGCCTACCAGTGACTATGCCCTCGTCTGCTACACGTCCCTATTCACTGATGCATATATAAGCGCCAGTCTCCTTGCCTATGCTTCAGAATCTCTACAACCACGGTGCTCTAAACACATCCTTCAAGGCTGAGGGACTGATTACCTCATCTTTTGTATATAGTTCTTCTGTTTTCTTATTATGTCCAAGAATCTGTATTTATAAAGCCACTGGATGGTGAAACGTCTACAATAAAGATAACCAGATGTTGCACATGTGCCTTCACTGAAGTTCTGAGTGTTGCTATAGTAGAAAAAGATGTTTATTTTATAGCCTTCAGCCTGTCCTGGTGTTCCAGGATATATAAAGTCCTTGAATATTCAGAGTAAACGAAACCTAAAGCATAATGATTTCTTGAAGATATCTAGTTTGTTTAAGGAATGTAATTACAAGTCGCTCCTCGCCCAATATGAATCAACAATAATCTTACCACTAGTCCCTGTTTGGCCGCTCTCATGGTGTACCAGCCAGCTATGCCATAGTGGTTGCTGC